CTCTCTCTCTCTCTCACACACACACACACACACACACACACACACACACACAAATGTTCCTGAGGCCCAAAAGGGCCAGGGGGTGAAACTTTTCTTGGTGTTGGCAACTTCCCACCAGAAATGGGCCAGAGGGCCTGGGGGATCGGGTGGTGGTGGCTTTTGTGAAATGTGTTGGGGTCTTCTTTTGCAAAGAACATAAACCAGGCCCTCTTGGCCAGCCCCAGCATGGGAAAGGAAGGGGGGCAAGAGGGGAAGGATGGCTGGGGGAGTCCTTGCTCTGTCTCCAGAGGGTTCCCAGGGAGAGGAGCCCATCCCTTCGCTGGAGGCAGCACTAAGATACAGCACACAGACATAGCCCAGCTGGGGCCAGAACAGGGACTTTAAGTCCAGGCAGGACGAAGCTCCCACCCAGGGCCTCAGCAGCAAATCTGTGCTCAGGGAGGAACAACACTCGCTCGTATATCCAGTGAGGCAGGAGATGCCGCTTTGCTCAGGTGGCAACTGGAACATCAGAAAGAAACCAAAACTATCAAACTGCAGGCACAGAAGCTGCAACACCAAGAAGCGCTGAGAGAAGGGCCAACATAGAGTAGCACTAAAAGGTAACGAGTGCCGGGGGGGGGGGATGTTTCAGCCCCTGAGTACCCTGAAAATAGATACCCTGTCAGTTTTTCACAAAGGTGAGGATGTTGAGCTACGTATAAAAGAAAGTAAGATCTCCACTGTGTGGGCTGGCAGGCTGGAAGAAGAAGAAGAGATTGGATTTATATCCCGCCCTTCACTTGGAGTCTCAGAGCGGCTTACAAGCTCCTTTCCCTTCCCCTCCCCACAACAGACACCCTGTGATGTGGGTGGGGCTGAGAGAGCTCTGACACAAACTGCTCTCTCAGGAACTGCTGTGCCAGAGCTTGTGACTGACCCAAGGTCACATCAGCAGCTGCAAGTGGAGGAGTGGGGAATCAAACCCGGTTCTCCCAGATTAGAGTCCGCGCACTTAACCACTACACCAAACTGACTCTCACCAAACTGGCTGGAGATGAAGGCCAACAGAGGAAACAGCCAGCGGGGGTTAATGGACCTAGGAGGCTGCACACTCACAGTGTGCTCCGCATGATGCAGAACAAGATCCAACCTCCTCCCAGCCCAGCCCTCCCAGCCTGTCCCACTGGACACCGCCGTGGTCAGAGGGAAGGACTCTGGATGAGGAAATGCCAGCCGTGACGCTGAGCATCTTGCACTGACCCACCAAGGGAGGTGTCAGCCTATGCTGCCATGGGGGTTGGGGAGTTCCTTCTGTGTCTTGTTACTTGCTATTGCATTCCTATCCCTGCTGTTCTGCCTTTGCTGAAACGCTTATCTCGACAGATGTGCAGGAGGAGGTTGTGTTGTCTGGAAGTCTCCTATGTACCGTGAGAGACTCCTAGTTCCCAGCTTTAGCCACCTAACGGTTTCCTAACTCATCCCGCACGCGGGAGGGTATCTGATTTGCCCATGCCATGGGGGGGGGGGGTGCATACGAATACCCTATATCCTGTTAGGCTCTACTGGCTGGGGCCATTCCTAACAGTGCCTGTGTTACTGCATCTACAGCTTTGCAATAAAAGTATAACCGTTCCTGAATGCGTGTACTTCGTTGTTAGCTGTGGGTTCTGACAGGACGGAGGGAGGCTTCACAGGCAGAGGAGGCCTCTCTCAATGGCACAAGGAACTGATGGAGGGAGGCGGCAGGGAAGGTTGGGATCAAAGGTCCGAAATCTCCTCCGAACATCCTAGTTTCTAATGGGCCGGGTTCAAATCCTCCCAAAAGTGCTGTGACTGCCTTTTGACAATGCCACATGTAGACTGCCCAAGGCAAGGATGCAAAAGGAATACTGTGGGTGGGTTGGCTTCTGGGATTTGGTGGCACCTCACAGCCACCTTGCCAAATCCCTGACCAGAAATGACTTGTGAGAACAGATTTTCTTCCCGCCAAGCAGCAGTGGCGGGGGCGAGGGGGGATCTGCCTGCTTTTCCCTCTGGCTCAGCCCCAGTCCGGGGCCAAGAGGGAGTTTTGTGCTTCACAGCAAGCCACAGATCCCAAAGCACCTGCTGGGAACAAATGTATCGAGCAGCCGAGAAAGGAGAGCCGCTGCCCAGCCTCCCGGTCCATCCCCCTGAAGGTGTCTGCAGAGCTCCCACCTCCGCTCAAGACTGGCTGCCCCCGCTCACCTTGGCACGGAGGGGAGGAAACCAGCAGGCAGGCCCCACCTTCCATTCTGCCACACTTTCTGAGCATCTCGATCTTAAAGCTTTGTCAGCTGCACTAAGCCCTTGTTTTGAATTCCTCCCCAAAACCCCTTTTTCAAAGTCTGCTTGCTGATCTGGAAGTGCTGGATTCCCCAGCCTCCTGAAAGCTGTCCTGTCTGGCCCCTGCAATGCGTGAGGCAGCCTCCCCTCGCCTGGGGAAATGCCCTCCCCGCCGTAGAACTGACCTCATTGCCCTCTGCATGGCTCACAAACCCACACCCCGGAACAGAGAGAGAAACAGCCACATTTCTGGAATGTATTCTCTTCCTCATGTGGCAGGAATATTTGAATGAACCCAGCGGTGTGACAGACGGTCCCCAGGGTAGACTCTCTGGACACAGAGAAGAGGAGAACTCCTCTTCTCCAGCATATGCTGCTCTTGACCAGGAAGGCACAAGCCCCCTGGTGGGGGCTCCGTCTGGGAAGAAGTCCCAACTCAATGACGGGAGGGACGGACTTTGGTTCATGCAAAGCCATCCTGTCCTAATGGAACATCGTTCAGGAGAAGCACCGTCTGTAGGGCAAGGGGACTGCTCATTTCTCACCTTTTCTTTGTTCCCTCGCTCGGCCTAAACACAAAAGCCCATCTCTTTTTCTTCAGTCTGTCTGCTCATACCTGGAATGCCTGAAGAAGCCTGGAAACGTACCCCACCTGCTCAGTCATGCTCCCCAAAGAGCAGTAACTGTGGGGGGGGCGGGGGGAATGGCAGAGGGCAACCCTGGTTCCGCTTGCAGGTTTTTACAGGTTTGACCCCTGGCTGGGCTAGAAGACAAGAGCCCACTCTCTCTCTCTATAGCGGCCAGGGCAAATAACCCAAAACACTCCATCTCCCATCCCATCGTCATCCCCTGGGTCCAACTGATGGAACACACACACACGCACGCACGCACGCATCCATCACAGTAAATATTTAAGCAAGAATGACCCAGTGCTGCAAACAGAGCTACAGGAGACCACGCGGCACCCTCTCTCCACACCTCTAAACATTACAGAACATCACATTTGGGCTTGGAAATGACACGTTGCTAGGAAACAAGACAAAGACATTTCTAGATGTCAGCCTCATAAATCCGTCTTTTCTTACTGTGTCTTACTGTTTTCACTTTATACCTCAATAAAAACTGTTATGAAGAGAATAACAAAATCATCTTTTCTAGCCATCAATCCAGATATTCCGTTCTGAAAGTAAGAGGCTTCCCCCCTTCTATTTTTCACAAAAACGGAATGTGTCTTTGGGGGGGGGGGGGGGTTTGCACAGGATTTGGAAAGGTCTCCCCCCCCCCCCCCCCCACCCCGCCACTACATGCAGGATGTGACCCACTCTACAGCAGACCACCCAGGGCCGGGCAGAAAGAAAGGCTCCGGGAGGAGCCAAGACTCAAGAAACTCAAGGAAGCCGCGGCAGAAACCAAACTGCCAGATGGTGGTTGGAGACACAATCCCTGCAGGCAGCCCCAGCAAGAGACCCTTGCAGAGGGGGGGCCCCTTGGTGCCGGCCAGACTCCGGCCCCGTCACAGGCTCATCCTCTTTGGCCAGCCCAGCTGCCCTGGCTGCCCCCACCAGGGAGGCACCTCTGCCTGCCTGCCTGCCTGCCTGCGTGTGCGTGCGGAAGGGCCTGCCGCCCGGGACCTCATCATCCCTGCAAGATCACAAACGGGGGAAAGCAGACAAGCTGGTTAGTTGCAAAGGGACACAACACAGCGGACCATTCACCCACGAGGGAGGCAGGGACCCGGCATGCTAGGGAATCATTATGCTGGGAGGGGCAGGGGGAAGTATCAAATTAAGACGCAAACATACCATTAGTTGGATGCTTTGCAAATGACACAGAAAACCGCTTTACAGCTGGCATAGACAAGAGCTCTGAGAAAACAAGAAGACAGCATCACTTCAGTTAGTCACCGCTGGCAGCGGCCGCCCTTACACCCGCCCCCCGCCAGTCAGCACTCGCTACCCAGGGCTCTGTCAGCCGACTCTGGGAAGTCCCGACCCGAGACCTGGCACCTGATCCCTGGGGCACACTGGTGCATTATCCAGACTAGCCGAGGGCACACTGAGTCAACAGAGCGGAGGGAGGGGGGCAGGCGGAGAGTCCCAAAAGGCAGGCCAGGCCCCGGAGTCCTTCTTCCGGGAGGTGAGACCCAATCTCAAGGTCAGCTCAGTGGAGAGCAGCTCCCGGAGCCCAGGGCCACAATCAAGGGTATGCAGTGGCATTGGCACCATGGCCTCTGCACCCACTGGGCCCCTCATCGCCTTGGCGCATTCCTGGCCATGTGGGGGGCTGTCCTCTCAGTGGGGATGGAGTCCCCCACCCCCTGCAGCTTCCGTGGGAACCGATCTCTGTCCTCTGGAGATCAGGCCCCACCAAGAGGCTGGTAGCCACCCTCACCTTCACCCCCACCCCCACACACCATACAGAGCCCCTGGCCATTCCGGAGGCCCAGCAGTCAGACTTGAGCTGCCTGAACTAGCCAGAGTGGCCAATGGTCCTGCGGGGCGGGGCGGGGGGGATCATCCCTTTTGTATCTATTTACTTCACTTATACCCCATTTTGCCCTGACCTGGGTGGCCGAGGCCGGCCTGATCTCGTCAGATCTGAGAAGCTAAGCAGGGTCTGCCCTGGTCAGCACTTGGATGGGAGACCACCCGGGAAGAAGCAACAGCAACCACATCTGTACGTCTCTGGCCTTGAAAACCCCATGAGGGGTCACCAAAGGTTGGCTGCAACTGGACAGCCCCTCCCACCACCGTACCCCATCCCCCCCCCAGCACGACCTAGTGGCATACAACATTCTCCCCTTCTCCCTTTTATCCTCACAACAACACTGTGAGGTAGTTTAGGCCTAGTGTGTGCGACTAGCTTCCCTGGCACGAGTGGGGATTCGAACCAGAGCCGCCCGGGATAGTCCCGCACCGTCCTGACCACCCCACTGCCCCCTGGCCCTCGCGCGTCCTAGAGGCCGGATGTGTGGAAATGAGCAGCTGCAGCTTTCCAGGGCATGGAGGCAAACAGCATCCCCTGGTTAGTAAAATCCCATTGAGCCTATTAAAAGGACTGGGACCTCTTTTCCCCAGGCAGTTGGAAACCCTAACCCTAAAAAACCCCAGAAGTAGTTCAGAGAGGCAGCTGAAGCCCAGCCTGAAACCTCTGGGCTGCTCTGGACCAGAACTGCAAGAAGCCTCGGCCACAAGGAGTGGCGCCTGAACGGCGGCTGATTCTGCAGCAGCCCGGCATTCTGGGGAGTCCTTGGGGCGGAGGAGCTCAGCGTTGCCAGCAGGCCTGGAGGCGGATGTCCTGCTGTCCCTGTCACAGAGGCTTCCCTCCCGTGTGGAGGGGGCCAGCTTTTCATGGCGGGGAGGCCAGCCAGCACCCCTCTCAGCCTCCGTCAAACGAGCAGGACAGTTTCCCTCCTTGTGGCCAGCCTATCGTAGCCGGAAAACAGTGCCAACCCCCCACCCACCCATCCACCCACCCTGTTTCAACAGGGTAGGAAGGCTTCTTGAAAGAAAAAAAGAAAGCCCTAAGGTATGGGGGGGGGGGGACACAGATAAGTGATACGTAGGAATGCTGAGAGAGGTTTACAAAAAAAAATATCCAGGGAAGCAATATGAAGTGATTCTACGATTCTGCCCTGGGAGGTTAGAATTGCTAAACACAATCAGTTTCCTAAACTGAGTTCCCATCTCTACCCCTTTTGCAGAGTCAAACTGCAACCAAGGAAGTGTGCAATTATTCCTCATGGAATGCATCTCAGCAGGTTAATAGTGACTAAACCACCTTTTAAAGTTAGAGTCTGAACCCAAATGGGGGAGGGCGGGAACCACACCGGTGAACCTGAACCCACATGTTTAATGGCTCAGTTCCCTGCTCCCGATCTCAGGCACAGAGAACAATGTTCCCTCTAAGCCGTGGAGTCTTGTGTGCAAAAATTCTATGTTGTGAGCGACTGGCATTAAAGTTGTGAGCAAGCGATTTGGCTACTGCATAAATTACTTTGCTCCGGAGCCATCCTTCCTGAGCTAAGACAAAAATGTGAGAGCTGGAGGCTAAAAACCTGTGAGCTAGCTCAGACTAAGACTAACTCAGCTTAGAGGGAACACTGACAGAGAAGCCCCCAGTACACCCGTAGACCATCGGAATGGCCACAGAAACTGAGAAACCAGTTTTCTGAAGCTCCTGGTGACTGACCCACGGTGCACAGAGCGGCGAACACAAGCAAATACTCAAACTAAAAAGCTTGAAAATATCCTCAGACAGGAGGAGCAGCTTCAAAAACAGGCAGCTCTTTGTCTGTCTGAGAAACAGAGCCCCACAGCCCAGGGCACATTTCCATCTCTACAAAAAAGGGCCAGCACACGTTTTCTGAGCCCAGAAAAGGGACATTTTGAAGGGCAACACCAGGGGGGGGGGAGCCAGGCTTTGTTCTGCCAGTTATCATTTTGCAGCCTCTCAAATGGGTAAAAGGAGGCCAATTTTCAACAGTGACAAGGAATTAATATGCACCACGTGACCTTTACTAGCAGCAGCAGCAGCAACTGACAAAGCCCAGGCTGCTTCCGCTCCTCCTGCCCAGGCCCTGGCCCCTGGGACAGCCTGCCCCCCCCCCCAACAAGCAGCCCAAGGGAGAAAAATGCTCTCCCTTGCCCCCACCCCACCCCGGAGGCCTCTGCTTTGGAAGAAGAAGGCAGCAGAAGGCACTGGCCAGGGAGCTCGAACCACCAGAGGCCAGACTGCCTCCCCACCGCCCTTCCCTGCCCCTGCAGCTTCCTTCACAGCCCTCTGGAAGGCCTGTCGGGCTGAGCGCCCTCCTGCCCAGGGCCAGCAGCACGTGCCCCTTGCTTGCCCTCTGCCTCAGGGATCAGGTGCCTGGTGAAGAGGATGCACCTACCATCTTTGTGCAGAAAGCCGGAGGCAAACTTTTTCCCATGGCTGCGAGCGTAGTCCTGGAGGTTTGGGGCGCTGGAGGAGCCTCCGAGGACCGTGGTGCTGAAGAGCCCTGTGCACTGTGACCCTGGAAAGGCGCGGCACTCTGTTAGCCTCGCACTCTCACCACGTGTGGCTCAAGTGCCTCTTGGGGGGGTGGGAAGCAGCGTATTGCCCAGCTGTCCCAAGGAGGCTCCCCAGCACCCCCTGGGCTCCGGCAGCCCGACCCCCGGCCCTGCCAAGGGAGACTCCCAGAGGTGCCCTCAGCACAGGTTAAGGAACATGCAGCAGAACAGACAGGGACTAGGCAAGCCCATGCGAAGGAAGCACTGCCACTCCCCAGAAAGCCTGTCCAGAGACTCCTCAAGCTTCTCCCAGCCCAGGTGCAGCAGCCACAGGGGGGCGGGGGGTCTCCAGGGCCCACCATGGACGTTGCTATCCAGAGGCAGGGCCCCACACACATCCCCCCCCCCTTCTCCAAGCCAGGCAGAGCACCGAGCGCACCGAGCAGAGGAGGAGCAAGACAGCCACAGCGGAGAAAAGATGGCACAATGCAGAGGCAGGACGGAGCCCGCTGGGAAGCCACAGCTGCCAGGCCAAGAAACCGTTGCCCTGGCTGGGGACTATGAAGACATCCTGGCCAGACCGCGGCTCAGAGAAAGCAAAGGCCAGCAGCATTTCACTGCGCTACACCAGCAGCAGAAAAGCAAGAGGGGGAAATTCTCTCCTCTCTCGGGACCCGTGTGTGACCTCAGCAAAGATTTGAGAAGCGGACCCTGAGGACCATGCAAGTAAAGATGCTGGCAGCAGGTTCCCATGAAGACAAGGAAGACTAAGGAAGACTTAAGGCAGGGCCTCAAAACCTCGGGAAAGGTCTCTTAGGCACAGACCAGGAGAGCTGGCTGACATGTGCCTGGGCGCGTTCTCTCACCACAAAGCCCCCACAGGGTAACGGTAGCAAGGAGTGCGCAAGGGGCCTCCTCCCTGCGGGGATCTGACCCAGCCTGCAAACGAGGCAAGTCCCAAGCAGGCGGGCAAGCTGCCTGGACCTGCATCCTGGCTGAGAGACCCCCAGAGAGATCTCCCCACCTCACAAGGCACAAGCAACTACTGTGACAGTCTTCTTTGAAACCCACACACACACCCCACTCTGCTGCATGGCAGCCCTCCGCCCAGGGCTTCCCCTCGCAAGCAGCAGCTGTCCTGCTACAGTTGCACGGTGGAGGTGCTGCATCCTTTTCCCCCACGCCACAGGCCTAGGCTCAAGAACGCAGACAGATATCTCTGAATACCTACAGTCAACTGTGGCCTGAAAAAGTACCTTTCTCTGTTTGGGCTCAGAGGGAAAATGATCCCCCTTCCCTGGGACTCTTATATTCTCTGCCTTTGGTTTCCTTGGAGAGGAGGAGCAGTTGCCATGCTTTAGGAAAGAGTCCGATCCTCAACCCTGCCCCTCCCCCCCAAAAAGCTGTATCCCCCCCCCCC